GACTGCGTGCGATCGGTGAGGAAGGAGGAGAACCACCGCATCACGGTGCCCCCCACTCCCAACTCCACCAGACGCCGCAGCATGATACCGTGGTCCACAGTATCAAAAGCCGCTGAGAGGTCCAAAAGAACTAGGACAGAGGAATAACCCCTGTCCCGGGCCCTCCAGAGATCATTCACCAATGTGACCAATGCCGTTTAATTGATTACCCCTTAATTGGATGTTCACTATTTGTATAACCTTCTATATCTCAATGATATTAATTTTGGGATAAGTGATAGATTTTAACTGATGAGGAAAGAATATCAGGTCTGCCTACATCTAATCAGATAAATGGTTATTTTGGGAAGCAGATATCTGGGCCATCAAAGTTTGTTCCATACTAAATTTAAAATAAAAAAAAAACGCAGAAAAATGCATTTACTTTCTTCTCCATGATATTGCATATATATATTAGAAAATAAATGCAATTCCTTTCCACTCTCTCTGTATGTTATGTTCCCCTAGAGAAGAATAAAGCAGGAGGATATCTGATTGCAAATAAAACATTGCATACATTAATATATCACCATTAATATTTTGGAACATTTTAATTTTTTTAGGTGCTGTTGATTGAGATCCAACATTAATAATCGCATATAAGAGTTTTGTTTCCGTAACATTTAGAATCATGAAATTAGAAAAGGATTTTAAGATTTTTGATTGCAATAGAATCTAAGATTGCCAAGGCTTAGAAGCGAAATTCAGAGAAAGATATTAGAAAATCAAATGGAAGGTGTGGTTATCTCTTTCCTAATAATGAAAGAAACACAATACATGGCATATTATGAAACCAGGAGGAGTTAGAATTTGGGACAACCAAGGTGTGACAGCTGTGAAGCAAAACTATAGAAACATAGTTAGCAGAACATTTTGTTCTTTCATTTCAGGAATTCAAGAAGACCATGATGAGAGTTTATGTAGCTCTGGTTGCATTCTTCTCCTTCATATCTTGGACATCCCCCTATGTTGTTCATTACACAAGTTCAGGGGGAATATGTACAGATACTTGTGGGTATCATGGTTATACGTATACCTGGTGCAAGAAAACGGGTGGCAATGGGCATGGTTGGGATTATTGTTCCTTAGAAGAAGGCCTGGCTGCTTCTGGTGAGAAATGTCACACACCTTGTGATTTATGGGGAGGGTCCTATCGTTACTGTCACTTCAGAAATGGAAAATGGAATTATTGCAGCATGGTATTAGAGTGGGATTCCATGGAATATTCACTGAAAAACAACTCATGTAAGAACAGGTGCCAAGTATCCGGAAAACATTTCCAATGTGAGACTAACCATGGTGTTGAACACTGCTCTCCATTCCGAGATGTGACTCCCACAGGTTTGCCCTGCCACATTAACTATCAATGTGCCAAATACGGTGGTTCAGACTATCGCTGTCAAACTGGCGAGGAAGAATGTGACTGGGATCTCTGTAGACCAAAGGACAACGATGAGTGCACGTGGAATGCTTCTATCACAGATTCTTGGCTCACAGAGATTTGTACACTTGTTTATTCCCAAAATGAAAGTAATCTCTTTTTCCGCAGAGAAGAGCAAACAAAAATACTCCGTCCTACAAAAGAGCAATTCAAAGATGCTGTTCATTTGATTGATAAAATAGATGCCACCAGAAATCTCTTTCATTCTTACACTCTGCCAAAAATGTATTTCAATGAGGAAAGTATCTTATGCAATGGGATCAATTATACCAGTGTGGAACTGTGGTCTGAACATAGCACAAATAAGACCATTGCACATGTTATTTTTTCAGAGATCCTGACCGTAGTTAAGGTGTTGCGTTTAGCATTTTATACCAGTCTCCATAGTGCCTTTTATTCACCTGCCTATACCATTGTGGTATCAGTTGGTGAACCAATGTTATGTTCCATTCATAATTAATGTATCTTTCCAACTTGTTGTACCAATACATTATTGCTTTTCATTATATCTGTTTTGGGTGAGCCTGATACTTACTGTTTGTTATTACTTTATAAGTAATTCTAAATCTTTTAATGATTTGTGTGAAATCCAACCCAATTGTCTTTTAATCACAATTACCTTTTCATGGAATTAAGGCTAATAAATATTATTTTGAATGACATTATATCTGAGAGATTTTACTGCATTTGTATACTCTTTGTAATCTTCCATAATTATATGTGATAATCTATACAGTTAATAAAATATGCTCTTGAAATATTATATAATGGAGTCTGGAAAAATGATTTTAAAGATCTGCAATTCTGTGTTAAAAAATGTCTGAGATAGCATTTATAACGCATTTACATTATTTTATTTTTAAAAATTCATTAACTCATTTTTTTTATTCTGAGATCTTTATTTAGGTCAAATAATTAGCAGGGACTACCTATACCAAAAAGACCAAATCTTCTTTGCAGGAATCCAGATTAAACATTCAGCATTTGTTTGATTATATCTCAAAAACAAAAGAGTCAATTTGATGTAATGGTTAAGGCACCAGGGTAGACACTGGGAGATCGTGAGACCTAGTCCAACCTTATATATGAAAGTTGGCTGGGTGATCTATGCCAATCACTCTCTTTCAACCTATGTCATCACACCTATGTTGGAGGAGGAGGAAGGACTATTTAGTATATTCAATGCCTTCATTGATTTATACACATAAAAAGAGGGATAAATTTATTTATTTATTTTTTAAAAAAGGAAAGTCAATCACCTTCTCAAAGTACTAACTTATTTCCATATGATTATCTATCCTTTCTCTTTGTCGTATATTGTAACTTGTGAGCCTCTAAGTCTATATGTGGTAGACAGTATTTCTCTGACATATCTATTTTTCAAATCCATGGACAAATGATATAGGAAGCTAAATGTGTAAATTCTTGTAGCAAAATAGAAAACAAAATTCATAGAAAAGGTAAAAGCTAATGTCAGTAAAAATATGATTCCTGGGTATATCCATATCATAAAATAAATCAAACACGACCACCAGGAAAATCCAAACTGGAAAAAAGCTCGGTATTTATTAAATTTTTCCAGTTTGGATTTTTCTGGTGGTCGTGATTGATTTATTTTATGATATATATATATATAATAATAAATAACAAAAAGGTGAACACCAGGGAAAAATTAAAATCATTAAAAGTTTTAACAAAACATTAAAAATTTTAAAATTTTAAAAGATTCTAAAAGAGACCTAGCTTTTGTTGGTTCCTACCAACATCATCAGGGCATAGATAATTCAATGGGAGAAAGCATTTATACACCAGCCAATGCCTGCGCCCAACTCCTAGACCTTGTGATAGGTCCCGGTCGGTCAATCACTGTGTCCATCATGATCAACTCCTCCTCAACTCTTTTGCCTACGTTCCCATGGATATCAACCCTCCCATTACTCTGTGGCTGTGAAACAGGGAGGAGCCTGTCTTTCTTCCAATTCAACCCGCAACCCTCATAATCGTGATGTTTTCTCCTCTCCTTTAAGATGGCCAATAGGCCCCTTTCCCACACCATGAATACGATAGCCATTTCGGGATTCCATCGGAGGTATCCTGCATTTACTCCCATCATCCGACTTTCCTTTCAACTCCACTCCCCGGATTCTACTATTATCGTAATCATTCGTGGCATCTGCCCTCCCCTTTTTGGTGGTCCTCAGCTCATAATGTTGGTTAGGCTGTAAACTCCAATATGTGGTCCCATCTATGCCAACTACATTTGGCGGTGGTCACCTCCGTGCCTCGTCAAAACAATGTCTCTCCTCCTTCCCCTTCACAAGGCACAGTCCGGATCTCAATTTGGTGATTGTACTTTCGCCCCCTTCCGTCTGCCATGCTGCCTTTCGAGAGCGTGTACTAGCTCTGAACGAGGGGAACTCCTGATCGTTTCCTCCTCATATGCCTTCATGGGGGGTAGTTTTTACAAGGAGCTCCTCCTTCCCCTTCATGAGGCTCACTCCGGATCGTAGTTCAATGATCTTACTTTCGTCCCCTTTGGTCTGCCGCGCTATTTTTCGAGGGCGTGTGGTAGCTCCCAACAGGGAGACCTCGCAATCATTCCCTTCTCGTGCGTTTACAAGGGTAGATCTTACAGGGTCGTCAGCCGTTTCACATAGGCGTGACTGCGATCCCGCCAGGCGGGTGTGGAAATCCACGGTCGCGGTGGTACTCGTGGTGGTGAAATTGATGCCATTACCAGAATGGTTATGGGGTGTCTCGACACAAGTGTATTCCGTCTCCTCCTCTGAACATCTCTCGCAATGCAGGGGGGTACCCGACGTTGCGGTGGCTCGATCTCTGTTGCCCAGTTTAAGAAACATCAACTTATTGGAAGCAGTCAGGATTTGTTTTGATTGTTTTTCACCACTATCATGGATAAGATCAGTTATCCTCTGTGTAATTACCAATAAATGTTTCTTCATAGATATTGCAGTTTCCTGGTATCTTATGTACAATCTAATCAGTAGATGAAATAATCCAAACCTTTCCAAATTTGCTACCACATTTGTCATTTTTAATAAACCAAAACTGGTATATTTAATTAATTGATGAATCAAAAGATTTATATGGCTGTCCATCTTGTGGAAAACAACCCTGGGCAGCTTGCAGAAATAATATAGCACCCAAAATAGCAAAACCAAACTTTGACATCTCAACCAGCATTATCCAGTTCATCTAACAGTACAATTTCTTAGCTATCTCAATGCTTTCCAGAAAGCTAAAATAATTTAATTGTAATTCTGCTTTGTTGATTCTCAAGGATGAATGCCAAGCCTCAGATCACCAACTGATATCAAATAAAACCGAAAGCTTTGTCTTTGATTATCACCCCAGACTAAGAAAAGTCAGAAGATAGTTTATAGTATTAGATTTGCTAGCTGTTTTCATAGAACAAGAATCCATGAATTTCACTTCCGGTGGTGACAGCTGGCATCGCATGGCGGCTTTTTTAACCGCCCGTCCGGGAGCGTGTAAAAGCTTGAAGAGACAGCGTCTGCCAGCTGTCTCTCGGCTAGGAACCTCGTCCCTCGGGCAAAGAGGGGGAGGTGAGTGAGTCTGGATAGGGCTAGAGCTTCCTTTTGCCCCGGTTTTGTCTTAATCCGGGGTGAAAGATGCTAGCTTGCCCGGAGTCTGGACAATCTCCGCGCCCCGAGACGCCTTCGCTCCTTGCTTGTGGAGCGAAGCCAGATGCAGCTCCCACCTCTGTGATCGAAGGTATTTGATTTAAAATTATAAACAGACAGAACTGAACAGGAGGCTGGAATTGTAATGGATTTATTGGGACTTTAACTTTGAAAATTATCAACATCTTCTTTATTTA